AAAGTAGTTCAAACTCCGAGGTCAATGTCAAAGGGTCACGTTGTTGGTATCTAAAGGAACGTCTCTTCACAAGGATTACATAATATGTGAATATGTAATATGTAATATGTAAAAGCCCTAGCCCTTACTGTTCAATAGTTATGACGAAAGTTATTTTTTATTCAAATAAGTCAAACTCTCAGGTCAAAGGGTTTAAATTGTTTATATCCAAAGGAAGGTCTTGTAACAAGAATTATATAAGTGAAAAACTTTATGGGTAAAGGGGCATGGACACAGTTTCAGCTAAAATTTCAAAATTTATTTTTCCCTTTTTACAAATATTTAACTAGGGCCTTTCTAATGATCATCAAAAATTTGAACGCCAGTTGTCCAGATACAAGACAGATTTCGAGCTCCAAAATTTGTTATGTAAACAAGGCTAGTGTCATGTTTTTGTTTACACAGGTTCATATACTAATATATGTTCATTCAAAGTATAGATAATTTCAAATAAAAGTTAATTTTAAATACGATTCGACAGTTACTATTGATTTGCTGAACTTCATTTTATTATAAATATGATATTTTCTATATATAAACAAAAACAAGGCACGAGCCTTGTTTACATTATGAAGAACTTTAAGTTGATTCTGTATCTTGTTTGTTAATCAACAAATGATGATCAAATTTTTGCTAATCAATAGATGATGCCTTAAGTAGGCATTGTAAACATTAAAATTGGTTTTAAAAAATCAGTTGAAACTGTGTCCAGGCCCCTCTAAAGTTTTTGCGGACAAACAAATCACCAGACAAACAGCTGGACAGACCACAGGGGCTTGTCACGAAATATTTATCTTCTTTTAATAAAGTTACCCATACTATAAAAATGTGTATTTTTATAGTAGGGGTAACATTCTTAAAAGAAGATAAATATTTCGTGACAAGCCCCTGTGGACAGACGGGTGGACAGGGCAAATACTTTTTACCGTCGAATCCTCAATTACGGAGCATAAAAATAAATGAGTTCCATAATAACTGAAATAACAAGCAGGTATCATTGTACATATGAATAAAGACGAAAGTAAAAGGCGCCATCCTTTATAAAGCAGAGACATTGTATTAAAAAAGAGTTGTTGAAAAATGTATCTCTTCTTTGAATGAAGAAAATTTGAAAATAGACCTTTTTCAAAATATTCTTAAGATTTTAATTGCGGAAGATTTTTAACCTAGGAATCTCAAACGAAAAATCTTAGGTGCTTTTTCACGAATGCATTTGAAATAAATTTATTTTTTCAAAATCTTTTTCTCAAAAAAAAAAAAAAAAAAAAAAAAAAAAAAAAAAAAAAAAATCATGGAGCACAGATATTCAGCACAGTCAATGCAAGATTGTTTGAAATCTAACGTTACAAATTAACATATAGGCTTTAGAATTGTCATCATAGGAATATTATGCAGAATTTTAAAAATATTTCCTCTATGAATTTTTCGAAAATATTTGTGCAGTTATATAAAATACTTTTGTAAGAAGCTTTTAAAAGTTATATTAAACATGCATTAGTATAAGCTTATATACACATTATATACATTACATACATATAGTAACTCGAAAACAAATACTTGAGAGTTACAGAGATTACAGAAGGTTAATACCACAATTTTTATACATAAAGTTTAAAGTTTCTTAATAAAGATCAAAATATTTAAAACTTTTAATAAAGATCAAAATATAAACTTTTCTCTTCTGATTAATCATTGGATTTTTGTGAAAGGGACTTTTCTGATGCATTTATTAATACAATCCAAATGTGTTTTCTTTTTCAAGAAAATTTATCACAAGGTCGTTATGGAGTAATGTGTGCTGGAAATGGAACAGTCAATGAAACAGCAACCACGGATGGCGACTACTCCATTTGTCATGGAACACAACACACTGAAAATGTCACGTGGTACATAGACTTCACAACTTTGAAAAGTATTTACCGGATTGCAATTTCAGGTAAATCTATTCAAGCAAATTTCATACAAATAATCTTTAACATTCTTACAAAGAAAGAAATGCGTGCCAAGTACTAGAGCCTTGTAATACTCTTAGACTAATAATTCATTTCCCTCTGTATAGCCCAATAATACTGTAATAGGATCATTTTCTTCTGTGTAACCCTACAATCTTGTAATTGGTTTTTATTTTCCTCTGTTTAATTTTCGCCCATTTAATTTCTTTGGGAACCGTTTTGTTAAGATTATTATCAAGAAAGGATATATATATATATAGGACATCTAACACAAAACTTAGCTGTTAAGGACAGATAATGAAATTTGTTACAAATTATGAATAAAACAACTTAAACCGTATGTTTTAAAAATGAAATAGATCAGTTTATCCACATAAATTTTAATCCTTCATTCAAATTTTAATAATTTCCTATTAACTAATAAAAAAAAACATTGAATAAATTGGTAAAGGTGAAATCAAAAACACTGAATTTTGTACATCATAGAAAGTTTACATACCGGTAGTTTGATATTGTAGAATTTTAGAAAAATTGATATTTACACCAATTAAAATCAAAGTAATTATATTGAGGCACCATTTTCCTTCTCTTTTACATGTCTTTAAAAAAGATTAAGATTAAAATGCATCAACACTGTTATTAACAGGAAAATGAAATTGATTGAGTTTTGAAAACATAAATTTTAATTACTTCACGCAGCGCAATTTAAACAATTGTGTTATTTTAATAGGAGAAGTTACCTATGAAACTCCAAGTGGTCATTTGTCTGTTTATATTTCTAATTCGAGTTCTTGGACGACGGGGTTCTTGTGCGCCAAACTAAAAAAGAATATCAACAAACAATTAACTCTAAATACCACATGTGCTAAACATGGTCGTTATGTTGTGATACACTTTGAGGGGAACTCTGATTTAATTCAAAGTGGCAAGTCTCCTCGGACGAAATCAGATTGGTTTTTCATTTGTGAAATCAAAATAGAAGGTAAGGATATGGTATTCATCACGCTAAACAAAAAAAAAAAAACAAAAACAAAAACAAAAAAATTAAAATCAAGAAAAATAAAGAAAAACATCCAAAAATAGATCAAATGAACGAAATATTTAAATCTTGGCCTCTATCTAATTGCGGAAGAAAAGAGAGAAAAGAAGGTTTGTTTTGATGGATTATGATGATAACAGACAGTTCTTACGTTCAAGGCCTATTAAAAAAACAGATCGGATGCATAACAAATACGAACATCTAAAACATCAGATGCGGAATCAGATGTCCTGAAGTCATTGCATGTATCGTCCATAAATATAAAGATTGGTAAAAAAAAAAAGTAAATTGCAGAAAAGATATCATAAAGGAAGAATAAGTGCAATTTTTTTTTGAACTGATGTCCTTGCAAAATAGAAAAGAAGATGTTTAGAAACATTATACACTTATGTAATGACTACGAGGTAAACAGTCAAACTATTGTCCCGAGGTAGTGGGGAAGACTTGGGCAACTGTTGCCCGAGGCCGAACTTCCAGTTTTGTTAATTTCTTTATAATAGGAATATTAAATTATATGTGATTGCTTCTTAAGTCAGTTAGAGGTGAAATGATAGTCAAAATTGAAAATCTGATTATTATTTTCATAGAAAAATCAATCATGAAAGCCTAATTAGTTCTGTAATTTGTTTCTATGTTGTTTACAAATAAAAAAATTAAAATTCCAATATCATAATAATCTATAGTCAAGAACTTAGATTTTCGATTTTTTGGAGTGAGCAACATGATCAAATCTGTCCACAAATGCATTGCACATGGCCAAATTTACATCTGTTTCGAGAATTAAATTACAAAGATTTATGTATTACCATTGAATATATATTTCTATAACTTTGTATTCATGGTGGAATTTCAATTAAAATATTCAATTATATCTTTTATCTAAATATTCCTTTCATCAAAACAACCGAATACTAACGAAGATTTTCTTTATATAAGGTAGGAAGTACAAGTAATAGTTTTTATCATGGCCATTGGCACAACTGAACCGAATTTGTTCGTTTAGACCTAAGTGCAGCTTATCTTTAGCTAACAACTTATACAACCCATTTTTGCCTTTATTTGCATTGATCTCTCATTAAATATTCTTCTAATAGACATTATTTTGCTATATTTTTTGCATTTTAAGGATGCGACGCTGGTGTTTTTGGTGAAAACTGTAACAAAAATTGTTCAAGACACTGTATTGGAAAAAATTGTGACATTCTAGATGGAAGATGTCTAAGCACGATGTGTTCTGATGGTTGGCAAGGGAACAGCTGTAGTAAGAGTGAGTTAATGTATAACAATGAAGGAAATTTTACTTATGTTTATTATTTTGTTATGTATTATTTGAATACTTTATAAACAGGATGTTCCAATCGAACGTACGGGCATCAATGTCAATCAACTTGTGGAAAATGTGCAAACTTACGTGATTGTCATCACCTGACCGGCAATTGCGCAGAGGGATGTGTTGATGGATGGGAAGGGAATAAATGTGACAAAGGTATAATGTGAATCCTTTTCTTAATTAGATCCATATGTTTAGAAATGTAAAACAATTTTAAACATCTACTAATCCAATTTTTTTATAACAAAAAAAATCACATGGTATTTCAAAACGTAAGAAACTTGAATAATGAGTTGTAATCCCAACTCATCAAGTTGTATCTTGCATTTACATGTAACATTTGCATCAAATGAAAATGGAAATAATTGAACACAATATATAATATTCCTTCTTGACATTTCCATCTGAAATGCAACATACAAATGCATAAAAGCAAATACATTCTTCATGAATAATAAATAAGTCTCGCCACTCATTATTACCTATTTTATCGACATTTGACAATTGATTCCGTGGCCGGGATGCATGTAACTCGGATAAGATCACAACAATTCTGCGAAAGCTTTCTAGAAATTGCAGTTGACTATGACGAAGTGTAACCAAACTAACCTCTCTGAATTTAAGAGTTACAGAAGATATTCTACAGTCTATGTAGAAATCGGGGGGGGGGGGGGGTCTTAGATGGTCATTCGAGATTTTTTCCTTCGAGTGTAAAGGTACTACGGGTGAAATGGTCTACAGCTGGCCTCAATCCAGGATGAATGCTGATGTTTTGGAGGGTGTGTTTAACACAAACGTGATTATCCAATGGAAATCAGGTAAGACTACATAATTATTTAAATATTCGGTTGAGAACGGAACTCCAACATATGATGTAGCGGGTAAAATCGTAGTATAAAATCATTTTTTCCTTTTAATGATTTTTAGCGAAATTGCAACTGTTTTTGAAAGTTATTTGATCACAGAAATAACTATTAGATATATATTAAATTTTTATCAATTAACCCCCTGCACAACGAACACTAGAAAATATCAAACAACAATACAGAAAAAATATCCAGAATTTATATGATGAAGAATACTATTATTTATATTTTTAAAAACTTGCATTCATTAAATGATATTACTCGTTATCAAAGTAGCATCTATTCACAAATGTCTGAACAAGTGTTACTAGCTTTAAAAGATTCACACTCTTTCTAATGAAATGATTCTTGTAGACCTTTATGCTAGTATGGTCTCATTACCTGCAAGAATAAAGCCTAACATGACATCAATTAACATGGCCAGGAGATCTCCAGATGTAGCTGGTTGTAAGATTTTTGTATTTAATTTTTCTTAACAAAGATTACGAAATTGTTTTAGTCAAAGCTAGTGCATGTAATATAGTTTTAATTCATGCTTTCAGCTTTCTATTTTACAAAATGACGATTTTTCAAAAATAATTTGTAAACAACGGCTTTCCTTCACAAGAATTCAGATATTGACTAGTGTTTTTTGCTGATATGCAACTTACCGCAAGCGATCCTAAAAAAATATTTTGTTTCACAGATTTACCGATAGTTGTGGTTTCCATTAAAATAATATTTGCTCTATTTATTTTCCTATTTATTTATCTTTTATTATTTTTGTAACATCAGATAAGGTACTGTATAAGGTTTGTTTAGCCCTTCGTAGTTGTAAACAATTTTATACCGATTTAAATTCGTCAAGCCTCGATTCTGTTTAAGAGAGAGATAGGTTCACTTACTCCATTAAATGGCCCTGTCCACATACCAATTAACCATTAAAGTCTTAACATCCCATTTCGAACATCAACATAAAAAAGAGACTAAGTTCTATCATTGTAAAATACATCTAACATGTGTCAAGAAAAGAAAAATAAAGAAAAAGAAAGTTTTGACATTCAGGCTTTATGAAACTACAGTACAATGTTCTTGAATTTTGAAGGAAAAGTGGGAACTTGAGCATCGTCAAGCAATGATTAAAATATGAGCCTATCCTGCAATCCAAATCTTTTTATGGATTAGAATCCTCTGAAACGTTTCTACATAAAATGAATTGGAAGCTATTGATCAAAGGAAAGCTGATAAATGAATAAATCAAGAAAAAGGTTTAACTTGGTTGACATGGTAACTATATCATCATAGTTTCTCATATGATTCATTTTATTCAGCCACGTAGCATCGTTTTTGAAAGTGGGGGGGGGGGGGTGGGCGGCCAGAGAAAAAAAAAAAGAATTTTAATTACTGTACCCGAAAAAAGTTGACAAGCGAAAGAAAGACAAAAAGGAAAAAAGAAGAAAAGTTGCCCCCAAAGTCCAAAATTCTATTTGGTGAGTGTGTTGGGAGGGGAACTTTTTTTTAAAGCCAACTTCTTTCAGTACCAATTTTTATACTAGATTTTTCCTTATATCACAAAAGGGGGGGGGGGGGCAACCAGCCCTTCAATAAATATTTCCTATAGTTTAAGTTATGTTGGGTAAAAAAGTTGGGTGGGATGGGGTGCTACGTGTCTGTTCTTTATTTAAGATTACCATTTTCCTCTCTGATCCAATAATGAAACACAGTTTCAGGTAAAAAAAAATTCATCCCCCCATTTTTTTTAAACTAAGGTAATTTCAAAGATTATCAAAAATTTAGATTTTAGTAGTCGAGATACATGACAGATTTTGAGCTCCAAATCTTCGTTATGTAAACAAGGCCCGAGTCATTTTTTGATTACATAGGTTAAATGTGTTAATATGTGTTCGTTAAAAGCAGATTTTTTTTAGTTTATTCTTATAAAATATGATTAGATTGTTTCTAGTAATTTGCTGGATCTCGTTTTGCTATAAATATGATATTTCCTGTATATAAATAAAAACAAGGCACGAGCCTTGTGTACGTGATGAAGAATTCGAAGCCTTGTATCTTCTTTGTAAATCAACAAAATTAATGATGTTAAAATTTTTGCTCATCATTCGCATTGCCTTAAGGATAAATAACACAAACAAATTTTTTAAAGGAAGCAGCAAAATTACTCATTGATGTACATCTAATTGGTAACCTGATTAATGTTTACCATGTATATTTGGAGAATTGTATAAGATTTTGACATAAGGTTAAAGTGTGCAAAATTCTGTACATATTGAATTATATAGAAAGCGAAGCAAAGTCTCATATTTAAGCACCAAGGAAAACCTACGGCAGGGATTTGTTATAAATATCATTTCAAATCAAAATCAGTCAAAAAATATATATCAATCCATGCATCCTTTTTTATCCCCCGCTTGAAAAGTGGGGGATATTAATTTGGGTCTGTCCGTCCGTCCGTCCGTCATTCTGTCTGTCTGTAACGCTTTCGTTTCCACACGATATCTCGAGAACCCTTTGAGCTTTCGCAATGAAATTTTGCATATCAAGTCCCTATGGACTAAATCAAAAGGTCAAAAGGTCAAGGTCATAAATTCGCAAATTCTATCTGTTATAACACTTTCGTTTCCGCGCGATATCCCGAGAACCCTTTGAGCTTTTGCAATGAAATTTTACATAACAACTCCCTGTGGCCTATTGATTTTCAGGTCAAAAGGTACGAAAGCCCAGAAGGCTCATTCGAGATTCAAGTTTCGAAATACGAGATTCAGAATTCGAGATTCGAAATTCGAGTTTCGAAATTCAAGATCCAAACTAACCAATCAAAAGCGGGTTCAACTTTTGATTACTTCCCTTTGTTACGTTTTTACTATCAAGAAATCGTTGAATATATTTATAACAAATGGATCATTTGCTAAAATGATAATGCAAGAAAAAATGTTTTATGTATTAAAACGAAATAAAAATAAAATTTGGATTACATTTTGAATAATACATATATAATCTTATTTTTCTAATTTAACAAAGTAGTAAATACGTATATATGGAATATTATATGGTCTTATCGTTGACTTGCTGAACAAGCAGGTCAACTAATTTTATTTCATCAGATCATTGCTGATGGAGAATGTTACATTTAATTATAATTAGATATGAAATATTATGAATCGTATTTACACTGCACTATAATTTAAGGGTATATATTTCATTACATATATAAAGGGTAAATTTGTGCAGTGAGACTTGACTGCTGAATCGAACTGTAGCGTTATATAAGGTTTTATAAGAGTATATTTTAGTCTTTGGCCATAAAGCTATGGTCAGAGACTAAAAAAGAACACCATAACACTATATAGTTCTGCATCTAATTTAGACTCATCTACTATTTGATATAAGATAATATACAGGCCGCATTTATTTTAATTCATATCCCTAAGCTGTATTGTAGACATAATTTTTAATTAATTCAAGAAATCAAAGCCTTAGATGAAAATAAGTAATTAAATACTTAATTTTTATGTATTTCCTCTATCAGGAAAACGAACGCGATTTTTCTTTATCAATACTACGTCGTCTTTCAAGTTTCAAGCCTTTCAGTGTGTTTGGAAAAATGGGAAGTTGGGGTGGGTAGGGGTGGGGTTATTGTTAACCTTTAGACACTTCCACGTATTCATAACTTTATTTATATGTCATCAACCCCCTAAACAAAGTCGGCAATACAAAAATATATATATATATTCATGAAACATTGTATATGTATTCTATTTAATATTTAAGACAGTGGCGTTGGGATATTACTTTCTGATAATGTGTAGGCTTGTGTGAATTAAGTCACATATTTAACCTGAGATGCAAAGTATGGGTAGACAAGGAGTTTTCTTTCGATAGGTATGGGAGATGTTCAAAGGGGGCATTTTTTCAAACTCAGATACCTACAACTTTAATTTGATCAGTGAAAATAATATTGTACATATATTACAGTTTATTTTGTGATGTGAAGACCACATAACAAAAAAGAAAACTTATCCTTTTACATGTTTTAATCGATATCTGCTTAGAAAATATGGTAACTTCCTTACTGAATAATCAAAATTCGATCAAAATGTTGAATTTCCTACTAACAAATATAAATAAATGCAAGTTATCAATTTTGTTTCCTGCACATATTATGGGATCCTGTTGTTTTTGATTAATTTTTTTTGATACAGACTTGATATAAATAACACGTGAACTTTGGCTTAAAAATGCCAAGCTAAGGCCAATAGTTTTGTCCTTAAATATAAAACAAAACTGTAAACATAATCGGATAGGTATATAAAAGTGCGGATTGCTAAGAATGTTTTTTTCATTTCCAACAAAATAAATTAATAGGTACGATTTATTACCAAATCCCCATCCCTTTATTCAACCAAATTTTTATTCTCGAGAAAATGATGTGTAGGCTACAGCCTTTTTGCCTACATGGAATATACGCCACTGTAAGAAGCCATAGTATAAATTGAAGTACATCTTGCTGATCAAAAATCCAATGATTATTTAAATTTCCTTCTTAATATATAAATACTCTTTCTTGCATTGTAATTTTTAGGCGGAAGCCGCCTATTACATTTGCTTTGTTGACCTTTCGACCTCTCAATATGTTTGCCCCGTTTCAAGGTACTCCAAACGGATGTATCTTAAACTAAGGGCAGACAACCCACTAAATCATATTCGACCCCTTCCCAATCTTTATCGTTATTATCATATCAAAAAGCGTGTGTTATGAAGAATTCATCATGTTTATTTT